GCTCAAGAGACCAGGACGAGCCACACGCCAGCTCAAGTTTTGAATAAGCAGAACTATAGTATGTAGGGCATGTCTGCTGGGAGAGAGAGTTGCCTTGGACAGGTATGCAGAGAGAAGCAGTGTCTCTAAGGAAACGAATCCCTAGGGTTGCCTTTGCTCCTCAAGGCTCTCCAATTCCAGACCACCCGTATCCTTAACAACACCTGTCCCCTTTTACCTAAGGTAACTGAGATTTTTCTCAATGGAAAGACCCAACTGTAACAGTTTGCACAAGTCCTGTGTAGGTAAGTTAAAATCGAATTATTATCTGAAGACATTTTCTTTGGGGAAAATGAGTAGGCTGGCTCCCTTAGCAAACATGACCTACCACCACTGTTTATTTGGAAGCATCTTGTGTACTTGAGATTAGATTTTAGGCAGGAAATGGTGTGACCTAATTTTTCCCTTTGTTATTCTGATGTCAAGGCAGGTCAAGACTATGTTTCAGTCCTAAAGAAAGGAGATCTTGGCGTCTACAAAGAACTAGTTTGGTCTAAGAAAGGGAAGTCCTTTCTAAGTTACTAAGATTCAGGTCTACAAATCTCTCTGAGGGAAGCTTTAAAACCATGAGTTTTTACCAAGTTAAAAGGAGCAGAGAGGTGTGGCAGCCATGTTGGTTCACCAGCGAGATCTCGTGAATCATTTCTCATCTCGGATTTCAGGGCTCAGGAGGGCTAAACTGGAAGGAAAACTGAGAGCAGCTCTTGTCAATACGAGACCTCATCCATTATGTCCACAGCCTCTTGGAAATGTCCCCCAGCAAGGCTGCCATCAGCACTTGACTGAAAACACATGGAAGCAGCCCACTCAGAGCAGGAATTCATTATTGGAAGAATAATAAGGGAAAGTTTTTCTTTTTCTTCTCTTTCTGCTGCTGGGAAATCTGCTTTCTGGAAAAGTCGCAGGGATTAGAGGGAATTTGAATCATGTCCGGTAACAAGGGAGGGAATGGAAGCAGAAGGGCATGTTTCCAGAAGCCTTTTCACACAAAGCATGATGGTCCTGGGCAACTCAAAGTGAGCTGTTCTATCTTAGACGTATTATTGAAATCGGGCCATGGCTCCCTTTAACCCCATTATCTTTTCCCAGAGTGATTAGTATCTGATAGCTTCAAGGGAAAAGTACCCAGAGTTAATTGGTTTTCCCTGGCTACTCCTCTTTTTCAAAAAGGTCACCTGTGGACTAAAATGGGCTGCAAAACGATTTGGTCTCCAACTCTCAACACTACCCTGTAAGTCTTTGATAGATGCCCAGTAATCCAAGGGAAAGGCACAGGGGGTGGATGTGAAAGAAGGAGACATTTGCCAGCTCCCTGGGTCTACAGTATGCAGCAGACATTACGAGTGTTTGCCAATCTACGGTTCTCCTTCCATTCCAAATACAGACGAGGTTCCCAACTCCAAGGACGACATGACTGCTTGGTCATGAGAGAGGTGATGTGTGTCGTTTCTTAGAGGAGGCCCTTAATCGCCAGTGCTCAACCCCCTTCTCATTCTTCCCCTCCTAATGGCAAGGGTGAAGTGCATGTTGATACTGAAACGAACTACTGAATCATCACATGGAGGACAGCCTCCCGGGAGGGTCTCTCAGACATGCACAGGCCTGGTTTTAAGTCACTGAGATTTCATGGGCTTGTTTGTTTAAGCAGCAAAACCAAGTCTGTCCTGACTTATGCCCGCTATTTATTGGTCATCTCTCCTCCCAGTTCTGTTTGGAGTTCTGGAGCACCTGTGCTGCATCTGAACCCCACCCTCATTGAAATTCAGAGAAGTAGGCAATGTGCTTTCTCTCGCACTTAGGATATTCATCTGAGAAGCGTGATGGACTGCTCCCTTCATTTGAGTAAAAGTAGCCTCTGGTGAATTCTGTAGTGGAATAAAGAAGGTCCTTTCATAGCTGTAGGACAAAAGCGATGGTGATGATATTAAAACCAAAGCTTGGGGAAAAAATGACCCTCCCAAGTGGTTCTAAGACCACGATTTTTAGGACAGAATCTGATATTTTGCACTTCCTCTTGCCTTCATTCCCCTCCCCTCCATTACCTAATCCTCATCACCCAACTCCAAAATTCTCATTTGGCAATCCTGGTTTTGCAGGACAAGCTTCTACAATCCCGTCTCTGAACAGTAACTTTGCTCACAACATACAACTAAAAGTCACTAGGCATAGAGTTAGGCAATTCTGGGTTAACCCAGAAGTGTTCATCCCGTGGGCTGATAGGGACCACACACTTCTGAATCTTCACCAGGACTGCAGCACATCAACAGAGTAGCTAGGATGCTAGTACAATCAGGGAGACAAAAGTTGGACTTTGCGTTATATGTGTATATGTACACACACACCAAGAAATTACTTCATCGCATCCAGGTTCAATAAAAGTAATTAACAACTCAAGATGCCTCACCAGCGTTCCGTGGGTGGTACCAGTTTGGCAGATTTTCAGCTCATGAATGCCACCTGTGTCTTCTTCCATGTGACTATTCCCTGGGGGCACCTTTCCTATGCATGTCTCCCCATTTTTAATAATGGTGAAAAGAGAAGGAGACAGTGATGGAACCTCTACCACATTCTCTTCAGTCACTTCTCCCATTGGAAGATCCAACCACCAGTATTGCTCTGATGATTCTTTTATTTGGAAAATATTCACTGAATTTCTATTGTGTGTACAGTATTGTGCTGAGTACTTTAGTGAGGATGACTAAGAAAGGTTGTAATAGATACGAACAGAAATACTACAGGGGTGAGTGGGGAGAGGAAGAAGCAAGATTACCTGGGTTCAAATGCACATTCCATCACTTTCTAGCAAGAGACTGAACTTTTCTTGCCTCCTTCCTCATCTGCAAAGGAGGAATGATATGAAGTCCTACCTTGTGAAACTGTGGGGAGGATCAGATAAGCAGATGCACATACAGTGTGTGTGAGACACACAGCAGCACTGAGTATTGGCACAATGCAAAGACAGTGCTGGTCCTGTCCTGGCAGCATGGTTCGTGGTGAAACACCTTGGAGTAGGGGAGCACAGGGACTGATTTGTCTGTCAATCACTGGGGGGTAGAGCACTGTCTTACTGTTTCCTGGGGTCAAAAAAAAAAAAAAAAAAAGGCCTCAAGTAGGAAGCCATTTAATCTTTGACATCTGGGACCAAGATATATTTTCCTCGTACCTTTCTCAGACACTCCTGAGTGCCCACTTTCATGTGTGAACTGCTTAGCTTTTCTTTCTTGGTGGACAGTGAAAGTGCAGAGAGACTGAACTAACAGTTACAGAGAACAAAATATCTTTCTCAACTTTCATAATAGTCCCTGGCTGTTTGAAAATAGCCAATTCATATTCAAGAATTCACAGGAAATGTACATTGAATCAGCTACAAAAACTCAGCTTGGTTTTCACAAATGTTCTATTGAAGACCACAAGCTCTCCAAAGGCACCTCACTCAGCGAGACAAATGACCACAGTCTGGAAACTCTGTATCCTCCACCTCTTCCAGGTCCATCAAAATCTTTCTCGCCCTCCAATGCCCAGCGCCTTGTTTGCTCTCCAGGAATATCTTCCTTGATTCACTCCAGCTGGATAAAACGTTCCTCCTTTGGCCCTTGCAGCCTGTGGCTTGGGCGTACATCTATAATGTTAACTTTATTTTATTCTGCTTTATAGTATAGTTAGGAGTACACGAGTCTTTTCCATTCCTTGTAATACACATAGCCTATTTTTTGATCTTTGCCTTAGCATTTGGTATGTAGTCAACAAACACTGAGTTGTTAAAGGATTGTGTCATCCAACCATTCTTCACCGATTGGGTACTTACTCTGTGCACAGCACTCTGCTGGGCATTGGTAGCAGACATGAGATAGGACAAGACTTGATTCTAGCATCCAAGGCATTTAAAAACCTCTGAAGGGGAGCAGATACAAAGTGACTCTACAGAGGGCAGCTTGAGTGTCACCAACAATTTGGGTAAAAGAGGTCCCAGGGCCAAAGGCTGGGAAGCTCTGATGCCTGGCTTTGAAGGGGCTAAAGCCCACAGCCTTGAAGCTTTGGTTGGAAACCTCATGGAAGAAGGAGGGGGTAGGCTGGGTGTTCTGCTAGGAACGACTAAATTATCCTATGGGTCACCAGTTGATTTATTTGCTAATTGACTGGCCCAGGCTTGGGCTTTGGATCTAAAGAAATCATTTCATCCTTTATTAAATACTGCAGGAATCTCACTCTTTGTTCTGCAGGGCTCTACACAATGTACCAGTGAAACTTGAATTTACACCACAATAGGTGTACCACTAATGACCTTCCAAATGCCACTAATACCATACATGTCCCGCTTCTCAGTTGGATCCGAACCTGTCAGTGAATTCTGAGCCCATCGACCTCCCTCTGACAAAAGAGCAGACCCTCATGCCCATGCCCGCCCCCAGCCTCCCCCATCTTTCCATGGTTTCACTTCTCAATCAGTTACTCTTTGGAGACCCCAATTCCTTTACACCTACTCTTTTTGTTTAGTGGACAATATACTTTATTCGGAAATGTTCCCTCCTGTAATTACAAATCCTGTTAGTCATCCTCTTCCTCTCCGCAGGGGGATTGTGGGCTTTCATTAATTAATGTGGTTAAACCGCTTTGAGGTGCCTGGTTGAAAGGTGCTATATAAGTGCAAATTATTATTATTATGGCTGTTGCCATCCCATGGCGGCAAAGCCTACAGCCCCAAGCATCTAGAGACCCGAACAAAGGCCTCTTCATCTTCACCTTCCCTGTTAGGTCTGAGATGGCTGGCTCAATGGTAAGGAGGAGGGGTGCAAATCTGTTACCATCTCAACAGCAATCAACTAATTAATCCCCATTATGTTGGCTTCCGTTTCCTTCTTCCAAGCAGCCCGGTCCTGTTTCATTTCACAAATCACGCCCCCATCAGCTCTAGACAAAGGTCATAGTGTCCCTATGGCCTCTGTTGGTCTAAAGGAAAAAAAAAAAAAAAAAAGAGAGGGAGAGAAAGAATGTTTGAAAAACCGTTGCTGTCATGAAATGCACTAACTTCTCACTAGCAGTCTAAATAAACCTCTCCTTCCCACGGCAGCCCTCTTACACACATACCTGTCTATTACCCAGGGAGCCAATGGCTTTGCAAACCTGAGACACCCAGAAACTCAGCACAGGTGTGGGTTAAGGCCCCACAGCCCTGGCTTGACTGCTGATAGCTACAGACAAAAGGGGAGCCTTTCTGGGCTGGGTGGGAAGAGGTCACCCAGAGAAGCGGGAGCCCCTCTTCAGCTTCCTCTACCACCCCCCCAGGTTTCCCCTGAGAAAGCCAGCTGCCATCTGTAGCCAGGAAGCCCTCACAAAGACCAGGGGTGGGGGGCATGATTTAGATGTTTTGTGCTACACCTAGCACACCCCAGCCCTTAACAAATGCTCGGGGCTTCCACTACGATGGGAGCCATTGAAAGCAGCCCTGTGGGGGGACTTGGCCTCTCGAGGGGATTCTGCTGACCAAAATGCTCCTTACAAGGTTGTGCCTCAGACCCTTTGTTAGCGTGGACGTGGGTGAGCCCAGGGGGTCATGTCTTCATCTGCCTCCATTTATCCTCCCTATTGAAGGGCTCCTTCAGGACATTGGTCAGTCTCTGTGGGAAGTGATTTGGAGAGCAACAAAAGAACTTGGGCCCTTTGGGGGGGGCCTTCAGAATTCAGTAAACATCTGGACACGGAAGGCCAGGTTCTCAAGCAGTCTAGCTGGGGAGATGTCAAAAGAGAGAAAAAGCTGTGTGTGCCACGCAAGCTTTTAGTCCTCTGGCAACATTTGTGGTCGAAAAACACAGACGCCCCAGTAGGTAGATAGGAAGATTTTTCAGAAGCTCCTCTATTTGTCGGTTTTTGTGAGCGCAGTGCACTATTTGTCAGTGCTCGTGGCATGTGTGAGGAAACTGAAGTTCCTCATGGCTACGGAGTAGCATGTGACGGATCTTCTGATTCTGTACGGACTGTGAATAACCCAAGGTTGCATAAGCCTGTCCTGGGAATTGTTGTTAAGCGTTTCTGTCATCCTTGAGATTTGTAAACCACTTTCTAGCCAAGGTGATTTGTTGGCTGCTCATCATGAGCACATTTTAATTGACAAAAAAATGAAGTACCGAGGCTAAGTGATTTACACTTCATCACACGATAAACTTCAGGATCTGAACTCTTGACTCTCAATGTTCCCTTTATTGTTGAATCAATCCATTTAGAACACATTAGTCAGCATGATTCAACATTAGTCACATGGCGCTAATCAGCATTCCACAGCGCGCCCAAATCTATCCTCAAACAGCAAAAGAAACTGGCTTCTGTCAGGAGACAATGGAATGCCATTTTCGTCGGTATTCAGGAGCTGACATCCAGTTCAAGTACCATGTCCTCTCAGGAACCTTCCTCAGTCATCCTAGATGGAATGAGTCTATTTCCTCTATCCTTTCAAATCCCATTGTTTGAACCTTGATAATAGGTGTGGCAGTTTGCTTTTGATTGCATATTTTGTTTTTGAGCTAACTAGATTGTGAGCTACTAAAAACAAGGGACCTTTTTTTTTTTTTTCAGCCTATCTCGTCAGAGCACCATGGTTTACAAAGGATAGATGCTTGAGAAATACCTGCTTAACTGAACTCACTGAAATGGAGCTTAAGTCATATTCCAGAAAGAACTCCAAGTCCTTTTGGAAGAGGTCTTCAAAGAAAATCAACAACCTGAATTGATTTAACTTCTTTTGATATTATTACCTGGGCATTTTCACAAATGCAAACTGTTAATTGTGAAAGATAGCCAAATGGCTTCCCGGTTCTAAAAGAGGAGCGTGGATCTAGTCTAACTACAGTCCAGGCCTTGGAATAAAGTTGTTCTCTTTTCCAAGTGACATTTTATTCCATGGCTTTTGTTTGTTTGTTTTTTGCTTTTTTTGTTTTTTTAAGTGGAGACAGGAGAAAACGTTTTGGAAAAAAAATGTGTTTAGTCTCTGACTCTGGAACCAAATGTATACCCTGCCTTGTGCTATAAGCACTAGTAGCCCTTGTTCAAGTATCTCTCTTGAATAGTGCACAATAGCAAAACACGTACCAAGTTTCTGCTTGACAGAGATTCTGTCTCGGGAGGGGGAACAAGATTTCTGGGTGCTGATCTTTGATGGCATTACTGACTGTGATACTCTACTCCTCTGCTCTAGACTCTACCAAAGAAGGTCCTGATAGCATTTTAAACATATAACATTTTTTCTTTTTTTTAAGAACAGGAAAGAGTTTTATTTGAGCCAAACTGAGTACTAGGCTGGAACCCCGCTTTCCAGATAACTCTGAGAAACTGCAATATTTATGCTGCATTTCAACATTATGCAACAAGTCCCGCCCTAGGGTCTGTACTGTTGTACCCTGGGGCCTAATCTCTGCAACTGGGCTCTTCTGAAAGAAATGTGTCACTAAATATTCATCTCCTCTTCTCTCTCGTGATAATAGAACTCCCCAAATTTAGGTGGGCACAGGGCCACCGAGATTAACAACTACATTTTCCAGTCTTTCTTTCCATATATCAGTAGATTGGCAGAAATAATGTGTGTAACTTCTGGTTAATATCCTTAAAGGAAGGGGGTTGACCTTTCCTCCCACCAAATCTCTACCCCACACAACTCCTGCTACCTGGATGCAGGACATGATACTGAGCTATTTTGGACCATGACAACAAGGGCAACATCCTAGGTATGATGGAGCAGCAAGCTAAGAGCCGGGGCCCCTGGACCAACATGTGGGGCCAAGCTGCCATACCAGCTCTGGATTGCATTCCTCCACAGTGCTATGAGAGAAAGCAGTTAACCTCTACCTTGTACACCACTGTTAATCTAGGTTGTGGTTCCACCCAGCCAAATTTATAACCCAACTATACTTAGGAAATTTCTCGAGGGATCACTGTATCAATTTGACTGTTCCATCTCAGCTTAGAATTTAGGGATCCAAGATTCAGGATGCGCCTAGAGTATCCCAACAGAGGCTCATGAAGCCTGAGAGATAAGTTGTCACAGGGGCTGCCATGATGGAAGACAAGGGGGCCCAAATTCATTTCTGATTTTATAAAAATCTTAGGAGCCCCGGCTGAGTATTGGGAGCGGCTACAAACCCAATTCTGAGGCACTTCACCTTTCTGGAACTCAGTTCCCTCATCTGAAAAGGAAGGTGATGAATGGAACGAAAAGATCCCTTTCTGGGAGGTGTATATCGTTAACTTTAGGAGGAGTAGAATAATTTCTGTCAGTTAATCATGTAAGTATATGCATAAATCACATGCACTGTGCAGAAGACCCCTCTAGAAGCTATGGAAACTCACACCCCAATGGTGGAGATAAAAGAGGCAGCCATAAAGAAACACAAGAAGGTTGCCCATGGAAACATGACGGTGAATTTATAATTATAGGAATTGGTCCACTAGCTCCAGAAGAAGTATAAATTGGTAAACCTCTTTGGAGAACAATTTGAAAATATATAGTAAAGATAAAAATGTGCATCCCCTGACTAGCCGTCCTACTTTTTGATATATACCTAGAGAAACCCTCACACCTGCATACCAAGAAACATGGGCAACAAGATTCATTAAGTTAACAAGTAATCAAAGTTTTTGTCAGTGGGGGAATGGATAACATGTGGTACATTCATACAATGGACATGGATACCTCAGTTAAAATGAAAGAACATGATCTATGTGTATCAACACAGATATGTTGCAAAAACATAATGCTAAGTGAAAAAAGCAAGCTGTAGAATGATGTGTATAATAAACCGTTTATGAAAATTTAGGATGCACTCAAAACAAATCTGATGTTTGGATTCACATATATGTAGAAAAGATTTTCAGAATGGGGAGAAGGATATACATCAAACCCTGGAAGCTTTTACTTCTGTGGAGGAGTGTAGGGGAGAGAAGGAATGGACTTGGGATAGGAACAAAGGAGTTCTGAATTTTGTAAGGTTTTATCCCTGTAATTAAAAAAAAAAATCTGAAATGAGGAGTTTGGGATTAACATATACACACTGCTATATATAAAATAGATAAACAACAAGGACCTACTGTATCATATAGGGAACTATACTCAATATCTTATAATAACCTATAATGGAAAAGAATCTGAAAAAGAATATATATGAATAACTGAATCACTTTGCTGTACACCTGAAACTAACACTGTAAATCAACTATACTTTGATTAAAAAAAAATCTGAAAAGAAAAAGACAAAATATTAACATTTGTTAATTCTGGATGTTAGAGTCATGGGTTTGCTTTATTATTTTCTGTAATGTTCAGTATTTAAAATATGTTTTCCACGTTGAAAACAAAATCTCTCTTTGAGGCTAACAGTGAGAGGAAAAGAAAGGACCAAAGAAAGGGTCAGTGTGGGACGATGTCATGGAGGGAGGGGATGTGAAGTGAATGTTGAAAGAGAAGGAGAGACTCTGCAGATGGGAGCCCTGCCTCTCTGCCCTGGGAAGCACCTCGTGGAGGGGCAGGCAGAAGCAGCTCAGGACAATACGACAGGCCTGCTCTGCCCTCTCCTCTGTGACCTGTGCGAGCGAGTTCACTCTGCTCCACTGAATCCCAGGGCTCTCTGCCAGGCTCCCCAATCCATGCCAGGCTGTGCCAGGTGTGTGGGTGATATTTACCAATCAGACACCTCCATACCTGGATGGAAACAGACTGAGATTCTTCTGGGTCACTTTGAGTCTACTGGGCAGAAACATTTAGATGGGTTACTGATTCTAACTGAAATCTGATGAAATCAGATCGTGGTATTTGGGGAAAAAGAATTTTTCAATGAATCATCCAGTTGGCTCAGTGACTAAGAAAATGGGGTGGAAGAATGTAACTCAACTTTGTGACAAAGGAACAAACAGAGGAGATTAATGCCTTTCCAACATGCTTCGAAAGCTGGTCAAATAACCACTCCTGATTTTACAAGAAAGATGAGGCACATAGCTTTCCAGCTCTTAAAAAATTCATTGTTTCTTTGTTTTCTGGTTTATTCCGAGTCCCTATCCTGGGTTATAGTATAGGGACTGGTTGGAAAAACAGAAAACTAGCTTTGTTTCTAGACTTCTCTGGACCTATCTCAGGGTGCTCTGGGCTCCCCTGAGCTTCCCCAGCCCCATCCCAAGGTTTATGCTGCTCATTCAAACCTAAACTAATAAGAGTAGCACCAGAATCCAGATTCAACCTGTCTTACCTGATCTTTAGTTTTTTAAAAACAATATAAAAGCACATAATTCTGTCCTGTTGCGAAACTAAGCCGTTGTCCTCTATCCTGTTCAAAACAACTTGGTTGGGCTTCCCTGGTGGCGCAGTGGTTGAGAATCTGCCTGCCAGTGCAGGGGACACAGGTTTGAGCCCTGGTCTGGGAAGATCCCACATGCCGTGGAGCAACTAGGCCCGTGAGCCACAACTACTGAGCCTGCGCGTCTGGAGCCTGTGCTCCGCAACGGGAGAGGCCGCGACAGTGAGAGGCCCGCGCACCGCGATGAAGAGTGGCCCCCGCTCGCCACAACTAGAGAAAGCCCGCGCACAGAAACGAAGACCCAACACAGCCAAAATTAAATAACTAAATTAAAAACAGCAAAAAAACAAAAAACAACTTGGTTTTCGTTTTTCAAACGCTTCCTAGATTCCTAAGGAAAAGGAGAGTGTAGGGCAAGGGAAAAGTGCACGAGGAGGAGGCCCCCTGAGCTCACCTCTGCCTTTTCCCTGGCCAACCCCTCCTAGAGCATCTCCTTCTTCGCCAAGTCGGCAGGCCTTTATTGCCTGGAGCCCCATGAAAGCCAGGATGGCTCCGGGAGACCCAGGTCCTGGGTTTTCCCTTAGCTTCCTGTAGCATCAGCAACAGCCTGGCTGCTTTCAAGTACAGAATCTTTATTCCTGGCCTTGACAAAGAGGTCCAGGGACCCCAGCTGTGTTCTGGGTGGCACAACGTTTGGGGCTTAATGGGGAAGCAAAGGACATGACCAGAACAGACGTGGGTCAAGCTGGAGTTCACTGTAAACGCCCCCTTCCCTTCTGCAGCCATGTGGTTCTGTGGACCCACTCCATGCAAGCCAATTCCCAAAGCCAAGTCCTGCTTTTCCCTCTCCACTAGGTCCCGGCACCCCTTAGCCTCTCTCTGGGCTGGTCAAGCCTCTGAGCTTTCCCACTCAGTGAACAGCGGGATTTCATGGTGAACTCTGGGAACAAAAGGAAAAATGGATTAAAGGGATCTTCCCCGACCCCCTCCACCATTCCCACTTCAGTTGCACAAAATAGCTGAACTTTCCCTCTGCTGGGACCTGGTCCCTCTCAGAGTCTGAACCATCAGGAAGTTGGGGGCTGTGAGATCCCTCTCCTTTGGGGCCCAAGTGTTTCCAGGGTCTGGGGCCCAACCAGAAGAGGCCAGGATCCCGGACCAGTGTGAGGACAGACAAAGAAGATGCAAACAGCACGGTATTACCATGGTAATAGCCTGAGCCAGGCGGCCTCCTGAAGATGCTGGAGGGTGGGTTTTCTTTCTTTTCCTTTTCTTTTTTTTTTTCTTGCAAAAGGAGAATAGTTCTGCTTTCTATTTTACTACAACAATAGCATGAACCGGCTCCTTCAAGTGTTTAAAAAGCAGCCTGAGAAATCTCTATACCAAGCCCCTCAGTCCCTCCAGCCTGCCGTTTTATTGTCCCTCCCATCCCAGTGAACAAAGGGGCGGGAAGGCTGTAAGGCCCCCAGTTGTCGGCTGTTCTCAGCATCCTAATCCTTGAGAACCGGGGAGGGGAATGGCCTGTGGAGCCGGTAAATCGAATGTTGCCCTCACCTTTTATTCCCTCCCTCTGCTCCCGCACTCAGGAGCTCTTCAGGTAGTATAAAACCTCCTGGTTCCCATATCTCTTCCCTCTTGCATCTCCCTTGTAAAGCAATTATACTCCAATAAAGATGTTAAAAAAAAAAACAACCTCCCGGTTAGCAGGCTGGTAGGAATCTTGGGTCTTGCTAAGGGGATGAAAGGCACCCAGCGATCATTCCCACACTCACTAACAGCCCTGCTCCCCACCCAAAAAACCAGGGTAGCCCGTTTGGATTATTCTTTACTGCCACTTCAGGCTAGCTCCATTACAAAGACGGAATGCTGAGCCACAGTGGCTGGGTCAGCAGTTTCCTGTTTAGTTGGTACCACAGGAGCTGCCCTCCCTCTTCCAGCCCTTCCCCTCTCTGTCTCTATGCCCCTCAGACATGGCTTGCACACCCCTTCCCGGAGCTGTAGGTACCAACCTCCATGCCACCTCGGGACTATAGTGCTAGAGCAACCCCTCACACAAGAAAAGCTTCTTGGCCTTGATGTCTGGTACCTTTCCAAGGTTATCAGCCAGGGATCAAAGGTTTCTTTGCTTTAAACCTGGGGAATGGTGCAGGTGTTTTTTAGCTCAGTCATCTGGTAAGACTGGGGGCAAAAATAAGCTTTTATGTTCTGGTTTGTGGAGATCTCAAGGGTAGAACTCTACTGAGCTAAGTGAATGATAAGTACACCATCTCCTTGGAGAATCAGATAAAGGTGAAGTGGGAAGGCCTTTAGAGATCACCCAGGCCGATGACTGCAATCCAAGTAAGAAAAACATTTTGCACTGCAACCTCTGTACATAAATTCATCAAGCATGTACACACACATACAATCACACAAGAAATATTTCATGAAACAGTACAATATGTGTATGTTATTTTCCATTCTCTATTTCTTTTCTTTTTTAATGCTGGTTATGATTCCTTAATTTTGTTTCACGACCCACCAATGGGCTGCAAAACAGTTTGCAAAGCACTGAATCAAGGTCAACACTGTCTTTTTCAAGCCGACACAACTAGGATGCTAGAGATTTTCTCAGGAACCTACCAGAGCTGGAATGGAAATCCAAGGTCGTCTCTCTAATACAGGAGGGATCCCCATTTTTCTGAGGATCAGAGCTCCTTTTTGTTTTCCCAAAGTCTTGGGAGCACATAGCCAGAGGGGAGGGAATGCCCAGAGGTTTGCGTTAAGTGGCATTGCTGACAGGGGCAGAGAGTTCTGCCACCTCCAAAAACCTCAGAGAGGAAGGTGTAGTTTCAAAAGCAAATAGGTGAGGCTCTGAAATCTCCCAGACATTTTTATTTACTGGTTGGGATTCTTGCATCATCAGACACTTTCCTGAATGTTTCTCTTTCCTGGACACCCAGCTCCGGGTCAGCCTCCTTTAGTAATCCACTTTCTCCCATTTTCCAACGATGTCTAATAGTCTTTCTTTGTAGTTTTTCAACCCCTACCAATTCATTGTAGTTCCAGTTTCTAAATACTTTCCCTAAACAATTTCCTCCTTCCTGTCAAAATCATGATCTTAGCAATGAGAGTCAGAGAGGCAATCCTATGTATCTTGTTCCCACCAATATTATCCAAAAGTTATCCAAATAAGACCATGCTTTCAAATGTTATCTACCAAAATGCCGAGTGATCAAGATACAGGCACCATATCAAGGCCCTCCTACAAGCCATCTGGGCAGAACTGGCCCTTTTCCTTGTGAAATTATCTTGTAATCTTCCATAGAACTTCTTGAAATCTTCATCTAAAATTGCTATTTACTAGACTTCTAATCTTTTAAGAAACGCTCTAAAAATGGAGAGCCAAAGGGCACACTGTGCACTGGGTAAACACCAGTCCAGCTTTCTGATTGCTTATTACTTATACACCCTTAGAGAGTCTGTAACAAAGGGGCCTGCTGTTTGCTTTGCTTAATCTGGTCTTAAAATCTCTGCTTCTTTGTCAGAAAACAATATTTGCAATTGTAAAAAAAATATTTACCAAGGAACTTAGATAGCATAAGTCAAAGGCTAAGAGTCAAAGGTCAGTAGTTCTTACTCCAAATTTCCCTGGACCCGAGTCCCTGCTGTGGAGCTCAGCTGCACCAAACAAACATGCTGCTTTCTGGGTCCATTAAGAAGTGGATGTTTTAGAAGGAGAGGAAAAGGAAGGCTGCAGCCTGTTCCTCAGTCAGAAGCATGAACCGTCTAGCCTGCCCCACAAAAGCCCTGTTAGATTTTTACAATGCAATGTGTCTCCGTGGGGATATTGTAAGGACTTACCCTGTTTCACAGACTTGGGAAAAATACTCAGCTTACAAAATCCTAAAGGGCAGATATTCCTCCCATGGACAAAAATGACAATACGCTCCTCTGTGGTTCCGGCTAGATGGGCACCTACGCATCTCCTAGGGTAGGGCCTCCTGCCTGACAGCGGGGGACAGACGTGTATCCTGAGCACTTCTGTGGGGACCCTTCTTAATCTACAAAGCTGTCTGGGACATCTGACCCTGTGCGCTAAGTTCAATGGGGTTTGAATTTACCCCCTCCTGTTCACTGTTTTCTGCAGCCCTGCCATTCGATGCCTTTCCTAACCACCCGAGGACCTAGCATCTGAGAATGATGCCCCTCAATCCACTTTTCCCCCTGTTTGTTGAATTAGTTCTAGGTTGTGGCCTTGGGGGCCTCTACCACAAGCCAGAACTCAGGCCCGTGTCACAAAGTGCAGGTCTGCAAGACCTGGTCCCCAGTCGGGACTTGAGCACAGTGGGAGGAAATGGAGTAACCAGAAGGGGGCCGAGGAAGTAGCGCTCATGAAGCCATGACGTTCTTCCACCCGCTAAGTGAGAAGGCTCTGAGGCAGGGCTGGGCTCTCCACGCTGGTGTCAGAGACCTACCTCCTGGTCCCTCACCCCATGGAATCTGTGAAGAGGACTGGGGTGGTTGCAGTTCCTAGCCTACTCGATTTGTCCCTCGTTCTTGGGTTGTCTGTTAGGAGATTCTATAGTTCTCCGTAACCTCTGTCAAATTCTTGCCACAATGGCCAGTCTCTCTTATCTTATCAGGATAAACATCATTGGTCAATTCATCTTGGCCTTTGATTCCGTCCCGAAGGAGCTTCTATCAGGAGCACAGCAGTAATTATCACCCGCAATGGGCAGCACTGAGCATAACCAGCCTAAAGAAATGGCTTAATCCGAGAATCTTACCTTGAAGCACCAGGCCTTCCTTCTCGATGGTGTAGACGAATGTGGTGAAGGTCGCCAGAGGGGACTTGGCAATGAGAATCTGCACAGAAAGCATATTTGCTCAGGATTAGTCAAAGGAAATAGAGATGAGCCTCTATTCATTCCTATTCCCACTTTGAAACAAAGTGGGAACATGTGACTATAAACTGTGAGGTTTGTTTATTGTGAAATTATTTCAGAAACAAATGGGTATTATTCCTTCAGTCAACTGATCACCTTGGAAGGCTGTACATCAATTTTAACTATTCTACCACCAAATGCCATATTCTTGAACCAGTTCTAGACATGTTTCATTAGGATATCGCATGCCTAAATAGCCACCTTTCTGCCCAAAGATAAATTTAGCCTGATTGTCTAATTTCATTCATAAATTGAGCTATTTTACTAAAAGAATAAAATATAATCTACCCCTAAAAGATAAAGATTTAACATCACTGCAAATATTCAAAATAACTTGGTAAAGCCAGAGCCATGATAGGTTGCTTTGTTGGCCCCAAATCTTCACCAAGTCTGTATTCACACCCTTAGCCATGTGACTACATTCCCTTTTACATGAGGCATAGAGTATTTCCCATGGCCCTGGACTGTGGGTTCGGCCACAGGACTTGCTTTGAATAACAGATTGTGCCAATTCTTAGCCTAGGCCTCAAGAAGCCTCACATACCTCCACTTGTTCTTTTATGCTTCTGCTACTGCCAGAGAGAAATATGTTCAAGATAATCTGTTATCTCATAAGGAGAGTGAGAGACACCTGACCCAGAGCTGGCCAGCCAGGCCCAGTCTAAATAGCCGACCCCCAGGAGACCCACATACACATTGGTTAAATGCTTATGACTGTATGCATGACTCTGTGATTTTGATGATGTTGTCACGAAGTATTATTGTGGTGAGAGTTTACTGCTATATCAGCCAACATAAAATATCAAAAATATTTTGAGCAATGGCATTCTCCTAAGAACACCCACTTTAAAGGGGATGGTCATTTGGTTGTTAAAAAAATTACTATCATTAACACCCATTATCACACTTCATATGATTCCACAGAACCTCTAAGAACTGGCAGGTTACTGTATTATAACATTTCTCCTGAAGGAAGATGAATATCCACTTTCCGTTTTACAAATTAACATCATAAAAAAATAGTGATAGGTGGGCACAGAGCCACTTAGGTAATCAGAGAGGCAAGGGAGAAGGAAGAAATAATTTCAAATTACCAAAAGGCTCACATGTACTATCTCAATCTATCTCAATTCAACAAACATTTACTGACTGTCAACTATGAGAAATGGTTGAAAAGAATGGTAGAAAGACCACACGTTGAAGTCACGGAGTTCGAATCTATGTTCTCCCACTAATCAACTCAGTGCCCGTGGCAGCGCTTGTGATCTCCCCCAGTCGCCACCCTTTTCTGGTTAGGTAACCACTCTCCAGGTTTCAACATTTTTCTGCCTCTTTTGCAACTAGATGTGGCTATGTGGCTAAGTTGTGACTAACAGAATGTGAGTACAGTGACAGGTAGAACTTCTGGATTATAAGAAAATTATGAGCTCTTCACTTTCCCTTTCCCTCTTCCCAAGGGTAGGAACCAGCTTCAGCCACATCCTGGGGGATGATGAAGCAATATGGGAGAAGGAAGCTGGGTGACCTGATGAATCAGCAAAGCATACCACCTGGGGTCACCTGTCCAGCTCAGTACAGAGCCACTTGTCTGAACCACCGTATTTCGGATGTCTGTTACTATGGTGTAGCCTGAATTCTACCCGGTACTGAGGCTCTGGACAACCTCACCTTTTTGAGTCTCAGTTTCCTTATAGGTAAAATGGGGATAACAATCTCACCTAAATGAGATTATTTTGAGGATTAAATTAAGTATATAAAATGCTTGTGTCAAACTAAGAACCTTAGTTTGAACGTTTCCAACCAACTCACCACATGTTTCCCAAGTACCACTTAACTTTTACTCACCAAAAACCAATATACTTTGCTTTTACTAGAAGAATTCAACTCAAGGTGAATCTCAACTTTTATAACTGCTCTAAAGTTACCTAGGTAAACTTGCTCATCATTCTCAGAACCAATGAGTAGATGGTATAGGTGGGCATTTACATCTTCACATCAAAAACATCTCACCTGAAAATTAAGGTAAAACTTTTCTCAGAGATAGTTTAGGGATGGTACAATGTGAGTTTATGGACACCCCTTGGTAGGGGAATGGCATGGTGGAAGAGAGGACAGTGTTTCTCAAGCTTTGAATCACCTGCAGGTCCTGTTGACATGCAGATTCTGATTCAGTAGGTTTTGAGCGTGGCTTGAGAGTCTGTCTTTCTAGCAAGATCCTAGGAGATGCTGATGCTGTGGTCCATAGACCACATTTTGAATAGCCAGGTTCAGGAAATTAGCCTGACTGAAGAGTCGAAGATGGAGAAGAAAGAGACAGGAATCCTGGAGTTAGTTAGGAAGCTACTGTAATAATTCAGGCACGAGATGACAAGAGCCTAAACCACAGGTGTGTCAGGAAGAATGGGAAAAAAGGAAATGGAGAAGAGAAATATAAATCCTTTAGCTCAAAGAGCAATAGAAATAAACATATCCCAAACCTCAGATCTTTACTGCCTGCATGAAAAAATTGGACATGAAACCAAAAGGATATAAATAAACAGTATTCAATAAAGCATCATACTATAGTTTTGAAATTTTATTTTATAGACCACAGAATCTGAGACTCAGACAAAAGCATGTGATATTCCAATGCAACCACTAAATGACATCTGAGCCTAAGCCTTTCAGCTCAGTGGTGCTACCTCCATCAGCTGACAGCTTCCTCCCCCAGGGAGCTCATGCCCACTCTGTGAACATGCCCAGAGCCCCAGCCAGAAGGACCTCACACGAAGGGGCCTCACACCTGGAAGTACCTCCCTTCCAGGAAGTCAAGGGGTTTGGACAGGTCATTGATTAATGCCCTGTCCCTCACAAGCAGGGTTTAAAATGGGTTATCCAAAGGATGATTGCCTGCAGTTAGAAAGAGGAAGTGATCAGTGACGTCAGATGAATCCCACTTCCTTTTTTGGCAAAGAACTTCCAGATTGATAGATCAGAGGGCTACCACCGGCATGAACTACTTGATTTTCAGCAAAAAATGTAACAAATTCTCAGTAGCCTCCTAGATAAAGTAAAAACAAGTTGGGCTGGATGCTAACACCATTAAGTGGATTTGAAAGCGACCAAAAGATCAATAGCAATCTGGTGAGGGGTAACAACCTCTAGTAGAATGTACTTGATTCTATCCTAAGTCCTATCATGTTAAACATTTTTACTGACCTGAATCAGGACACTGATGTATTCAACTGTTATATTCAATCTATACAACACATCTGGGATCCAGCAGGGAAGAGAACTGGCAAAAATTGCTACCTTAATAGAGCTTACATTCTAAAGGAGGCGAAAGATAATATACAAAATGAATAAGTAGTGAAATATATGGCATATGAGATGATTATATGTGCTATGGAGGAAAAATAACAGAGAAAGAGTATAGGAAGTGTACTGGATCAAAAGAGGGGGTCAATTTAAAATAGGGTAGTAAGAGAAGACCTCATTGGAAACGTGACATTTGGACTTGTGGATCATGTAACTAAACCAATTGATGGGATGCGGAATATGGTAACAGAAGACAAAAAACCTTAGGAGAAGAGTTACTATATTAGATGAGACAATCATTACATGAAAACAAAGCTGAATTTGGTTACAGTGCTGGGACAAATCCTACAAACCTTTTAGGACACAATTTTATTGAAATACATGTAAGGCCTTGGCCTTAAGAATAGATGACCAACTATTGGTTACAGAATGGGGAAGATGAGATTTAACATTCAGAAAATGAATTAGGTGTTGGTTTACTACAGTTCAATACCAGTTGGCTGTGAGATGTGGTTTGCAAAAATCTAGTGTGATCCCAGGTTATATCAATGGAGACATAGTATCTAGAACAAGGTCCTGCTCTTCTCATTCAGCAAACCATGCTGGGTGCAATGTGTTTGGATTGGAGCCCAAATTCCCACAGGGAAATGACAAACAAGAGAACAGCTAGGGGAGAACCATCAAGGTGGTTAGACTCCCAAAGCAACCCATGACCACAAACACTTCAATGCAAACATGCTGGTAAGAGGCCTGGGGTGAAGATGCATATTGCTTTTTTTTTTTTGGCGGTACGCGGGCCTCTCACTGTTGTGGCCTCTCCCGTTGCAGAGCACAGGCTCCGGACGCGCAGACTCAGCGGCCACGGCTCACGGGCCTAGCCGCTCCGCGGCATGTGGGATCTTCCTGGACCGGGGCACGAACCCGTGTCCCCTGCATTGGCAGGCGGACTCTCAACCACGCGCCACCAGGGAAGCCCCGCATATTGCTTTTAATATGAGTTTTCTGACCTGGAGATTCTATAGTGTAACATAGTATAGAAGGGAAGTGTAAATTAGCTTTTTAGCCCAAGAGATTTCAGAAAAAAAAAGTGATGCTTGCCACCTATCTTTGGGAATACATATTGACCCTTCCCTTTTCTAGACTTGAATGAGTACCCCATGCCCTTGTGCCTTTCAAACAGTAAATTACCGTCTTATGAAGCAAACAACCCTCCCTAGCAGATACCTTAGGCTCTTCTGTTTTAGATGCTGTCAACCTATAAAGCTGGGGTGTTCTAATCACTGCCTGACTTGTGCTGTTGTCAGGTGTCCTTCTGTCTTCTTCAATACATAAGCCCTGCAGGGAGGGTCTGGCTGCTTAATAAAATCCCGGAGCCTTAGTGAAAAATTTTTTATCATACTCAGCCATGTGTGCAGTGTGTGTAGCTAGCTTTGGAACCCCCTGAGGGTTCATGGAAATATGTAGTTGGGTAAGAATGAGTACAGACCCGTGCGGCTCCGAAAACCCTGGAACTCCACAAGACAGGTGTGTGGTATTGTGAGCCATAATGACACTTCCTGCAAATAGCCAGATTGTTTATTCTTGAATGTTTCCATCATATCAGACAAGCTCGACTGTAGCTAC